CAGAGAGGTGGGGGAGTCTCCCCCTCTGGAGCCATCCCAAACCCGCCTGGACGCCGTCCTGTGCCACTGCTGGAGGTGCCCCTGCTCTGGTGGGGGTGGACTGGGGGAGCTCCAGAGGGCCCTTCCAGCCCCCACCACTCTGGGGTTCTGTGAGATATAGTGAAAAAAGAATACCATGGACAAAATCAGAACTTACTTGGACAACAGAGTGCTTAAGGAGAGGATTTGAATAACACTAGAAATATACTTTAATGTTCTAAAAAGACGTCGTGCTGTGAAGAACTCTGTGACTATATCAAGTTTCTCAGATAAAAGCTGAAGAACAACTGTATCGACAATGATACTGCAAATGACATTTCACCAGGTAGTTCTTGAGCCAATAAGAAGTGACACTTGAAATCGATGGGGCAGTAATTTGTAAGCATTAAGGATGTTAGAGAACAGCTAGCAGCAAAACACATAATCTTGATGGAGCAACCACGAGCTGATCCCCTTTAATTAAAATGAAACACTAAAAAAGCAATATTTTTGCTCTGAGTTTTGTAACTGAAGAGACTTTTATTTCATAGCAGCAACTTTAAGAAATTAAAGGAACTGGTCTGAAAAGTTCTAAGGACTTGAATGTACTTGAAGCTTTCAATAAGTGAACTGGAACCTGTATGTCAAAATAAGGGGGGGGAAAGCCTAACTGGGTGAGTAATCATGCCAGAACAGACTTCAGAAATACACAGAGAGTCTGCAAGAAACAGGGAAGGAACTGATTATCATAGAAACGTACAAGCCTGAAGCAGAAAGTGAGGGCAAAGTAAGATTTGAACAACAAAAAAAAAGTAATCAAGACAACATAGAAACTTTTAATGGAAATTAATACAAGTACCAAGAAGTCCCTCAGCCAGAAAAATCCCAAAGTCTAAAACAAAGAACTGGAACAGACTGGATGCTACTTACGTAACCGGAAATGTCTGTTCTAACAGCAATGGCTAAAGATATCCTCCAAAACCAGGAAATGAGATCTCCTCCTTATCTCTATCGCATCTACATTTTGTGGGCTATTTCACCCCTTTCCTCTCTCCCCGCACAATGGACAGGTGACGATGTTTCTCCCCCCTCTGTTTTTTATAACACAAGTGAGGAGAAAGAGTCCGTCAGCTAGTTCGAAAGAGATCCTCGTTTCTTGCTATAGCCTGGTGAGCCCTGACTGTCCGTTTCTTCAAGTGTTCTGTCTTACTTCCAAACGCCTCTGCTCTCCTTCCACCACATCCCACAAAATCCAGAGCGCGGACCATGCTGGCTGATCCACCGCCCTTACCTCCAAGAGCTCACCGTCTCTGAAGCCTTAGATAACACATGCAAGAATCCCACCATGAAGTTCAAATACCCAAATATCCATATGGAATGCTTTCTCCCCCAGTCCTTATCAATTTAACAACTCAAAAGGCTATTTACTGAAACGGCTTCTCCTATTGCTCCGTCACCTGCTTGCCAGCATCTGGTCCGGGGGGACTCCCCCCAGAGCCATGATGTCCAGGCAATGGAATGGCTCTTCTCTCATATACAATTTTTTTTTTAATATATATATACACACACACGCACACAGGTATTCCTATATAGACAGAAACAGGAAAAAACATAAACGGAGAGTTACGTGGGTTAGGTGGGAAGAGAGTGCAGCTTTTGCAGTGAATGATCTCCTTCACAGCAGGCATGTCCGGGGGGATGGGAGGTGGGACGATCCCCAAGCCTGGCATCATGGGGTTGATCGGAGGGATTCCAGTCATCATCCCAAGAGCAGGATCAAAATCTAAATGGGGGAGAGAATAAGGCAGTCAGGTAGTGGTTTGGACTTGTACTGTAACTGTTTGTTCAGACAGCGATGGAGTGCTCTCCCTACATGTGTCAGTGAAAATTTGCTGAAGAAACAGCAACAGAGAGGGAACATCATAATACAACTCACCAGATAGACTTGTGCCCTTAGAACAACTTTTCAACAATGGAACAGTTTTTACTGCCTCAGCCAAATAGATTTTCTCTGTTCAAATAAACTACTTCCTTTTCCACTCTGCGGACACCATCTCCCATCTAGCGCCAAGCCCTTCCCCAACCAGTATCACATTGGCCATATAAAGAAATCTGTGCCATATGGAAACAGTGTAAAACCCAACCTGGTCCCGTTCCGTGAAGCACTTCAGTAGTGCAGACAGCCTGTGACACGGGGTTAAGGGCATCACCTCGCAAACCAGACAAGTGTACCTACTCCAGCAGCTGAGGACGTGCCAGAATAGTTCTGGGTAAAAGGCACGGAAGCGTTTAAGCACACACCTCACTGCATGCCTCACCCCGCTTAGCTCGTTTCTAGGCTTTGGTTGGCACTCTGACTATACCTAAGTAGCACGTTACTTGGATTTTGCCCTTAGAGTTGCCTCTAATGTCAAATAAAACTAAACAGAGCTGTCAAAGGAGGGGTATTTGATCCGTTCAGAAGTTGCAAACCGTGGGGAAGCAATACCTGCAGGCAACCAAAACGGCAACAGCATGCCCAGGTGCCCCACTGAGAAGGCTCACGAGTTGAGAGTGTCAGCAGCTAAGCTGTGAGGAGAACCAGTACCACCAGGGCCAGCTGGTACTACTGGGGTGAGATCTCAGGAAGAACCATCACTACTATCCCCTTCCAGTGCCTAAAGGGGCTCCAGGAGAGCTCGGGAGGGACTCTGCATCAGGGAGGGGAGCAGTGGGATGAGGTGGAGTGATTTCACACTGAAAGAGGGCAGATTTAGATGAGATATTAGGAAGGTATTCTTCCCTGTGCGGACGGTGATCCCCTGGGGCAGGTTGCCCCGAGAAGCTGTGGCTGCCCCATCCCTGGAGGTGGTCAAGGCCAGGTTGGACGGGGCTTGGAGCAACCTGGGCTGGGGGGAGGTGTCCCTGCCCAGGGCAGGGGGTGGCACTGGATGGTCTTCACGGTCCCTTCCAACCCAAACCATTCCAGGATTCTGTGATTCTCTCTGAAGACCTCGGCAATCCCAAAATACCACAGGACACTACCACATAAGACACAGTCCTGAGCACTTCATAGCCTCTGAACCTGGCTGCCTGTTTCAGCTGTAGACACATAAAGTTAATTTTGCAAGGCACAGACAAAAGTTACAAACAGGCAGAAGCGAGTGGTGCAGAGGCAGCATTCTCCTCTGATCCCAAGCTGGCAGAGTTTCAGATGTTATTCATATCCCTAAGGCAGGACAATATTTTTGTACGCCTCTCCTCACAGCCACTACTTACAGTAATCCCGATGAAAGAATCTTTTACTGCCCGGATTGGACGTTTGAGGTTGGTAGTTGAATGCTGTTTTCCGTTGTATTTTGGAATATTTCACCTGGGGCTACACTTCTACACTGTTCACGCACGTTGCTTTCCGTGCTGAATCTGCATTTCCTTCGACTCAGTGCGAGTGTTGCTGTTCATTTTACGTCACACATGAACAGTCACAGTAAAAACACAGACCTGAGGCAAACCCTCTGCCATGAAAAGGGTGTTTCAGAGGAAAGCACAAGAAATCTTCCTGTAGCCAACTGTGAAATATGGATGTAGGGATACAGGCGAATTGTATCCGTATGAGATACGTCCGTTGGTCCGTGGCCGGCTGATGATGGGATGGGCTTGTCTATGACACCTGGCTTGGAAAGTTGCGGAATTTTAATATTTAAACTTTAGCAGATTTCAGAGATGATACTGTCAAAAATATCAGGCAGACAGCACTGTTTTCAGCTAAATAGCTTTTTCACTTGCCTTAGAAGAAATATTTAAAAATGATGCAAGTCTATCCTTAGCCAGAGCCCCATTCCACAGTGCAGGTGGCCTGACTGCTCCCTGTGACGGTGCTACACGACTCCCCAAAACACACTGCGCACACGTTCCCAGAGGAAACGGGCTGTAGGGAAGGCCAAGGGCTGGCCTGAGTGATGGAGGCTACACCTGAGCAACTGCTGTGCCGGGGACAGAGGTCTCGGAGCTGGAGCTTGGCTCACAGGCTCGGAGCAGGGAAGAGAGGATGGGGAGAAGCTACCCCATCCCAGATCTCCGTGGTTTCAATTCCCGTGTCGCTGCGTTGAGGTTTGTGATGAAGGTCACCTCGTGGATGGCTGTGACCTTCAGTGACAAAACTGACTGAAGATGTGAAGCGGCTGGAGAAAAACTGCAAGACTTCGTGCTGAGCAAGTAACATCCCCACCCAACCTGCGACAAAGGTATTGCCACTGGTGGCAAACTGAAGCGCAACAAGCGCAGGACAGTCCCTTTGCTGAAGGGCTGAAGGATGCTCACCAAAACCAGCATCCTGATCTCCAACTTACCAACGCATCTTCCGGATTTCCTAGGTTTAGGCTGGGATGCTCATTACTTCCCTCCCTTACGGCAACATCTCTGCCAGTAAACTCAATCCCAGCTGTGAAGAGTTAGACCAGTCCCACAAACACTGGTCTGGGCCAGCCAGCCCGTGGCACGCAGCAGGTACCGCAGCAGGTACCCCTTCAAGCAGCACAGAAGCCACCCCAGGACACCGGCTCTCCACAGCCTCTGCCCTGCTACGCACAGCCTTGGTACCCTCCTGTTAAAAGCCCTCTTGAGACGGTAAAGAAACTCTTCATCTCCCTAGAGCTGTACCCCAAAACGCCAGCGGGGAGCGATCTGGACCTTGCCCATTGCTGCCTATCAAGAGCAACTGGAAGGAAGAGGAAGAGCCGAAGCTCTCACTGCTGAGACAGCACAGAGGATGGGAGACACGGAGCAACGGCGATCTGCTGGAAAACGCAGAGACTGTTCAAAACGTCCATGTGTCAGAGTCCAAGATCCCACCTGTCTCTCCGGCACGGTTCGATACAGGTACGACCTCAGTGCTGGCAGCAAGTGGGGCAAAACAGGGTACGTTTCAGCCACCTCCCCACCATCCTCGGCAGGGTGGTGGCTGTTCTTCCCCGGCACCTCTGGCTGCAGGGCTGAGGTCACCCTGGGCTGTCTGCCACAAGTCAAGGACAGGCGAGTGAACCCACTGCTACAGCTTTTGTGAGCCTCTAAATTCAGCCCCTTCACATTTTATAATTATCCATGCCAACGAGAGCAGTCTCACCTTGTCCTGGTAATTTGTTACTGCCTCAAGGTTAGCTAACGGCAACGGGCACGGACGCCAATCAGAGAAAATCCTTAATGCGGGTAACAGAGGAGCTTGGGAACCCGAGGGTGGAGAAAGCCAAGACGGGTGTTTCTCTGATCAAGCGAGACTCACAGCTTTCTAAAAGCGCGAATGAATAATTATCAGAAGCAAAAGAACAAGCAGGGTAATGAACTAGCACGTTATACTGAAAAGCAGGAAGCGTGCACACGAGGCACAGGGCCCGCGGTTGTCGGAGCTGTGGTGAGCCCCACTTCATCGCTCAACCAGCGGTGTTCAAGACACCTCGCCAGCTTGCGCAGAGACCCGCTGCTTCCGTCAAGGAGCTGAGCCCATGGCGACAGGCCAGCATCCCAGAGGCTTAAAAAGCAGATCCAGAAAAGCCAGTCTCCATTTTTAAGAACAAAAAAAAAAGAAGAAAGGAAAGTCCTCAAGGACATTAAAGAGTTCAAAAGCATCAGGTCCAGCAGGTACTTTTTGCTGGAAGCCACGATAACTCTTTTTGTACAAAGCTGGCAGTAGCTGGATGGGGTGAAAGGTGCTGTGCATTCATTTTAGACATGGAGGTCTTCTTAAAGCATCTCACAACTATACGCTTTACTTCATCTGTAGGAACAGAAATTGGCTGGTAAATTCTTAAGCATTTTTAGAGATGTTTTTACTGTGACCTGAAACTTTAGTCCCACCTAGCTGTCAGCAAAGATGGGCCCAAAGCGCATCAAGCTTCCATTGTCTCTCAACTTTCATAGATACTATAGATACAACTGGTCTGAACTTCAGACCACCACTGTGCTTGGGAAGGGATCCATATTCACCAGAGCACTCCGCTCTCTTGCGGCCAGATCAGAAAAAAATATTTTGCTCCTTCTAAAACATTCTGAGTTGTTTGTGTTGGGTGCAGGCCTCCTCATCCAAAAAAGAAAAAAAGGATCAAACCCAACACCACTCGGGAGCCTTTCCCTGTTCTTACAGCAGGGATAGAGACTGGCTTCAAACTTGTGTGCTCTCCTAGGACAGACTGCTATCGATTTTTACTTGACAGAAGCACGTGAGCAGGAGAATGACATGGGAACACCCCCCCTACAGCAAAGACAAATGTGAAACAAGGCCTGGGGGCCAGAAGACTACAGACTGCATGCAAAACTTAGGGCAACTTAAGCGATGCTGTTAGTTAAATATAGCATCAGCTGCAGAGCAAACTGCCTGCTCTGTGCCACAGGAGCAGAAATAAGATTGCAGAGCGCTGCCAACAGAGGCACTCCCTCCCCAGGTGAGCAGGCTATTATTCAGGCAGGAGACAGCATCCTTCTCAAGCACTTAACAAAGTGAAGGACTGAAACAGTAATTTCATTTCAGGAGTTTGACATACGGGCATCTTGCACTGCTGAGAAACCACATACAGCACAGCTCTGCTCCTACAGGAGCACCTGAACAAGTCCTGGACAGGATGACTCACCCATGTACATGTATTCTGGACCACAAGGTAGGTCATTTCTGGAGCAGAAGCCTCCATTAATTTTTGCCATATCCATTTTACTGCCCTATTGCTTTCCTCTTCATCTCCCTCCCACCCTTTCTTTTAAGCACTTCCAGTTCAGCTTAGAATAATGTGTTACTTGATACCACTGGTTTCCTGAGCTGTGTGAGGGACGCTCCTCCTGCTGGTCCACTGCAGAGTATCTAGAGGTACCCCACAATAACCATTCTTTGCATCAAAAAACATGTATTCTCATTTCCTCTGAAATCAGCTTTAACACACTGGCATCTAAATAAATCACTTGCAGACATTAATGCATTTCAAACACAGCTTATTAATGCTTCCTGTACGTGGCAGGCATTTATCGAACTCAACTGAAATAGGTTCTTCCCAAAGACACGTTTGAAAGCAAAGGTGGGCACAGTCTGGCAGCGGTGACGTACCAGGCAGGAGGGGCTGTCCCGTCATCCCCATGGGAGCCATCCCCAGGTTGTTCATCGCAGTGGTCCAGGCAGCGGGGTCGGACATTGGCAAGCCCATCGAAATGGAGTTGAGGCTTAGATTTCTGCCACCATCTGCAGAGAGGAAAAGAAAAAGGGATGAAGAGCTTAGCATGTATGTAACCCTTCTGCAGGGCACACAGTGCCCAGCGAGGCTCTGCAGCATCAGCATCCAAAACCAGATTTGAACCTAATATATAGGAAAGAGCCAAATAATAATAGTAACAATATAAAAAACCCCACAGTTCTGTCCCTCTCAAGATGAGGTTTTACAGAAGCAAGGACTACGAAAAAACTGCCTTTCAAGAGCAGCTGAGTAAATGACGGTTTATCCACTACAATCAACAGCTCTAAGGGGCCTTAAAGGAACAGATTAAAGGCAAGGGGCACACTTCGGTTCATCCCAAGAGATTTATGAACAAAGGACAAACAGTCAGCGGGTATAAATTGTCATAATTGCACTGAATTTAACAGAGATGGCAGTCCTGTTCCAGGAGTACTTCCACTGCCATCCAAAGACGTTTCTCTTCCATGCTAAAAGGGGAAACGAAGCAAAGACCAACGTCACGCTGCTGACAGCAGCAGTACCAGTGTTATTTACTCAAGGTCTGCAGCGTTATCCGGCAATCCAGGTGGGACCATTAACATTATACAAACATGTGGCCTAATTAAGCATTCAAATCGTCAGTGATTTAGCTGGGTCAACCATGCCTTTAACTGGTCGCTTCCGTTTACCAAGACACATGCTTGTTCTTTTTGTTTGCACGGGTTTTAACTTGAGGTGCCCAAGTGCAAAAATATCTGCTTTCAAAAAGGAAAAAAAAAGCAGCTTAGCGCAATGTTAACTCTGCACAGGAAAACAATGATGAACGCTTGTTTGAAAAAAAATCTGGCTTCAACAACAGAGGGGAGTGAGGGGGGAGAAACATCAACAGTGTTACTGACTGAAGTTGTATGAAAAACTTGCCAGCTCTAACCTGAAACTCGGCAGAGTTGATATTCCCCCATCTTGTATAACCCAGGACACAACCTAGTGCACGGACTCACAAAGCTCTCCTGAAGCTCTCCGGAACACACCAGCAGGAGGAAATTTATTGATCGTTTATCTCACCGTGTGATTTAACGATTCAGAATTTCCATTTCCCACCCTGTTCCACCACTCCTCTCTTCTTGACCTCAGAGAGGGGACGAGAGATGGGTTCACCTTCCTGAGACGCCACCTCTACACCCCTGGTTAGAACACCCAACCCCACGTATCCCTTGGGCAATCTCCAAAACCCTCATCTCCCAACACGCAACAAATGAAGTGCTGGCAAGGTCAACCCTCCAGCCTTGGCTTTACCTTCCCCTCCTGTCACTGCCAGTCCCACCACCCTTTGCAGGACAAACAAATCGCCCGTTTCACTGTTCCCACGAGCCAAACCCTCTGCACCAGCCCAGTGCCTGCACTGGAGCTAAGCTATGTACAAAACACCATCTGCACACCTCTACTTTTCCCCTTATCTGACAGATCTCATTGGCTGGGGGAAAACAGAACAGTCTTCAAAACTGCTTAGTCCTGATGCTCAATAATCAGCAGACTTAGACAAGTCAAATATGAATTAAAGCAGCACCAAAAGAAGAACATACTACACCCCCAAAAAGGGAAAACTCAGCACTCTCAATGATGAAATCTACCTTCAGGCGTGGGTTTTGGAAGAAGACTGACTATCCTAGGTTCATAGCAAGGTGTTGTAATACAGTTGGATAGATGGCAACACAACAGACAGGATCTACAGCACATCACAGCCGGCTGAGTGCAGCAAACGGGTGCTTAATCACAGTGTTTGTTCACCATTTAGAGGCAGTAACACTATTGTGACCTCAACAGATCTCACCAACTTGAATTTTATTATGATAACGTGCTCACCCACTGCTTTTTAAGTGGGAAAAACATGCATGAGAACATCCATCTTGCCTCAACATAACAACGCTAACAAATTTAGTTCCTTTCAGACTTCTCTAAATCCCTAATCCTCAGCATTATCTACTTACATACAGCATCTCCCTCGGTTGTGTTTCAAACAATCAGCTCTTGCGATCTATGGCCCATCTCTCCTGAAAAAAAGAATCAGTGTCAACCTGTCCCCCTTTTGTAACTCCTTTGTTTCAGGAGAAGTGGGACAAGTCTAAACTTATTTATCACCATCTGTCTGTCAAGGTGAGAGTGCACAGGCTACCAGGTCAGGTCCGAAGAGGGAGAAACAGAGGATACCGAAGAAGAGAAATGGGATTACTGAGTTGGCATTTACTAGTTTAAAGCAAAGGAACAAGGGGGAATGGCTTCAAACTGGAAGAGGGGAGATTGAGATGAGATCTGAGGAAGAAATTCTCCCCTGTGCAGGCGGTGATCCCCTGGGGCAGGTTGCCCCGAGAAGCTGTGGCTGCCCCATCCCTGGAGGTGGTCAAGGCCAGGTTGGACGGGGCTTGGAGCAACCTGGGCTGGGGGGAGGTGGCCCTGCCCAGGGCAGGGGGGTGGAAATGAATGGTCTTCAAGGTCCCTTCCAACCCAAACCATTCTATGATTCTATGAAACGAAATCAAAGATTAAAAAAGGAAGCACCAACATGAAAGCCAAAATACCCCAGAGAAGGCAGCAATGCAGTGAGACCATGGATCATCCCACTGCACAGGGGCGAAGAGCTGCGAGCTCCTCCGCTGCCCGGTAAGTGCCTGCCCAGAAGAGACTACACCGGGGCAGCAGGGAAAACGGTGCTCCATCTACCTACCCCAAGCATACCCGTCCCCGTCCAGAACCGTACGTATTATTCAACAAATAAGATCACTGTGTGTTATTCCCGTTGCGCAAGGTCCTGGTCTCACACCTCCGCATTCACATGCTGAAATGAAAACAACATTTCGATTGCGGGATCACAATGTGGGCAGCTGAAGGCTGTGCCAGACCAACCCACAGCCCTCCGCAAGGCTGCCCCAGGGCAGAAACCCTGCCAGCGGGGTCAGGGTGCTGGAGGTTGTCCTGTTAGAGAGCACCGCACAGCTCAGCCTGAAGAACCTGGATATTCACCGTCCCTGACAGTGACGATCAGATTTTGATACTTAAAAAGCAGATCTGCACTGAGACAATCCAGCACAGGAGAAACACAGCTTGTCTGTGGATGCAGCATATGCAAGAGGCACTTGAGACATTTAAGGACCTCCAGGTATATAAAGGAAACACACAAAATAACAAAAGGACCAAAAACTCCTGACCCTACCAACTTCCAACAGCCCTCGATGCCTCCCTTGGGGCAGGTGACAGTCCCAGCAGCTACATCCACATGGGGTGCACTCGCAAACTGACCGAAGTCTCCCATCAGCTGGGATCCACCTGATCAAGAAGCAAAACCCACCACCTTCTTCCCAGAGGAACAAAGGAGATTTCTCCCAATGTCCTCCTTCTGCCCCTCTGAACAGGCCCCACATCTGCTTTGCACACCACCTCCAGGAGCGGCGCCCAAGCACGAGGTACATTTATTTGGAAGGTGAGGTACTCACATGGCATCAATATTTTACTTGAATCCCAAGGGAAACACTCTGGCTGTCCCTCCAAGGGACTGGAGGGATGTTCAATAGCTTCTTGGTACAGAACAGAGAGATCGCAGTTTTGTAGCACATTACACTACACATTGCAAAACTGAAATCACAGTTACTTCTTGTTCCACGGTTGGACAAAACCTCTACAGGGATATGAGAAAGCCGTCTTCTCGCTGGCTGCATCAGAGACAACAGGGTCTCTAAAGCGAGTCCTGCTTTGGCTGCAAGGAGGTATCTTAGGGCAACTCATCTCAGTTGCATCAAGAAAAGAGGATGTAGAAGAGTGAACATGGAAAACATTTGCAACCCAAAAAAAGCTTTTCAGAGATAATCTAGAGAGAAAAACAAAGAGCTTTGCAAATCGCCTTCCCTCGGTGAGATGGCCTCCTGCTGCAGAACCGCACCGCTGCCTCTGGTAGCCTCTACCAGAAAGCTGCTAATATTGAGATATTGTCCAATTAGAAAAATAGGATAAACCTATTGAGACAGGCATAGAGATTCCACAATGCTTAAAAAAAAAAAAAAAAAATCAATACAGAAGTCGCCTTTGTTTTGCACAGAAACAGCAACGAGCCCTCACCCAAAGCCGTGCAAGCATGGAACCACAAACACCAGTCTGACCACAAGCAGTACCAGACCGCAGCTCCGTTGCCATCTGTCCACCTTCTGCATTAACACCTCAGCCTCGCAGCTCGGTTCGGTCCGCGCTTATGTGGATGCCTTGGCTACTGCCAGCCACCGAGGTGCTACTCGGCTCACCTGGAGGAACGTTTGTTCTCTTCCTCTTCTTGCCCGGATCGCTTCCATTCTCGGCCGGGCTTTCCGACACCCGCGGGCTGGCAGCGCTGCCGAACGGCACAGACTTGCTGTTGCTGGCAGGATCCAAGGACAGATGGTTTAAGCCTAAAAGAGAAAAATACACTCAGGGACGTTCTTTAAATTGGTTTGTGATGCTTTGGGATCACAGTAGTAAGAGAAATGCCCAGTCCCAGGTACGAGCAGCCCTTCAGGCCCCTGGAGGAATTGTGCCTCCTGTTTACTGTCCCCAGCTACACCTGATCCTGATGTGACACGGACACCACTTTAAAATACTACTCACAAACATTAATCCCAACACCCACACAAATAAAAGTGTCTGATACTGTAAACCAGGGGTGCATCTCCCCTGCGTTGTACAATATTTCATGTTTGGAAATTCAGAGGTCGGAATTTTTTTCTATTTCTTCCCATCCAGGAATATATTTGTAACAGTTACTTAAGTTTCACCCAATTTGTCACCAGTTGTGAATTCACCTGGACTATTTCCTCGCAAAAAACAAGGCACGTCTTAGACGATCTTCAAAAACATAAGGTGCTATTGTAATTTTTATTCAAGGAGTCCAGCAAGCAGTTGCCCCCCTTCGTAGCCGAGGAAGGGCTCTCTGCAACGCGCATCCCCGAGGAGGGGAGCTCACAGACCCAGCCGAGGGGACCAAACTCCTCCTCAGTCACATGATGGATCCACTATCAGAGTCCAAACAAACTTCTCCGGCCTCAGGGCTCGTATTCCCTCTCCCCTGCCCCGCAGCACAGGAAGAGGTTTTCCTTTGCAGGCACCCACTTGTCTCGGATCCCCCCTCCGCCGGTCCTCAGCCACCCCACCACCACCCGCCCCGCGTGCTGGGTGCCTCCAGACACTCGTTTTGAGAACCACAGCACTCAAAGACAGAACGCCTTGAGTCCTGTTGCTCAAAGTTTGTTATTGAGAATAGAGCAGACCTACCGACGAGTTAGGTTTACTCAAGAATAAATTCAGATTGACCCACACACAAAGTAAGTCAATCTATGGTGAAGATATAAAACCAGAACAGTTAAGAAGGTATGTACCACCGAGACCCCCTCTGCCTGATAGTACACTATGTTGGTTTTCGATGCAGCTGTCCATCTTTTCAACAGCCATCATCCACCCAGTGAGCTGAGATACCCCACGATCCTGGAGAACACCAACATAACTCACGTTCTCCAGGAAAGATCCTGAGAAAGGAGACACCAAGGCCCACACAGACCCATGAAGACCAGAACTGGGTTTCAAAAATAGTGCAGCTTTTTAAATATTCACTAACTATAAAGCACACTTTGAAATATTAAGTAACCAACAGCCTAAATATTACTTAAAACTCACTTAGCTGATCACTGGGAGAAAGTTTTGTTGTGTTTCCCGGGAGTTTTAAGTTTTTCCTCATTCACAAACATTCCCATCCCTACACAGGACAAGTTAGTTCAGTGTTGAGCCTAAGTTTCTCAGGCGTGTGTTTACCACACAAGTAAACAAGAAGCAACAGTTAAGTACAAGCAAGGAGAAATACGATGAAGCAGAAGGAAAGCTGGCAGAAGTAAGTGCTGGCTGGTGGGATGGCTTTCGCGCTGCCCTTCACACATCCAAGCACTTCCGCGACACGGAGCTGGAGCCTGGATGCTCAGGCAGCCGGGAGAGGCGAGCGGCGGCGCCGGCTGCGTTTGAAGAGCACCCGTTGCGCCAGGCTCAGGCTGCACACGCGGTCCCCACCGCCAGGATCCCGCGTCAGCCCGCGAGCCTCCGCGCCAAGGCTTGCCTTTGGACGGGTCACAACCTCCAGAAGCAAACCAAGAGAAGGCAGGCGGGTGCGCTGCAACGTCTCACTGTCTTAGTACAAGAGGTTTAGTACAAAAGACTCCTACACCTACTTAGGCTGTCAGTCAAAAAAAAGTTTGGGGGGGGGGAACAAATTGCCCTAATGGACCCAAGGAAGTTTCAGAAAACCCATAAAGTGCGGGAGGAAGCGTAACGAAGAACATCCAGTTATAACGCTGACAGCACATGGTCCTGCCAGGCTCCCACAACCTGACAACTGTAGTCCTCGGATGGTTTCTTCTCCTGAAATAGCTTCTTTGGAGTTTATTTCCTGACATTTCCCCACCTGGCTGACCAAAGCTGCAACTACCTTCAGTGTATACTGACCAGTATACACAGGAAGAAGAGCTAATGATGCAGATTTGAACTAAAGAAAACCTGTTTTGCAGCTTCCAGTGTAGTTCCTAATTCAAGGTATTGCATCCATTTCAGAGTAATTCTACGCTAAACCATCTTTTAGATGACCACCCTCCCCAGACCTGTGGTGGACAAATTGCAGGTGACGGTCAATTAATCACATTTACGTGCCAGCAGAATGCAGTCCCAACCATTCCCGGCTCTCCAAAATGATCTGTTTCTAAAAACTACAGGTAACGAGAAAAAAGTACCGTGTAAACAATTCCAAATTACCAGAGGCTTCAAACATAAAGCTTCAAGTATGCAACTAATCACAGCAAGAGCAGAATAATGCCCTTAATTAAGCACAGAGTTCGTTATTCCACCTTCTGTCATACTCAGGTCTTGCAGGGATCAAGACTGAAGGGATGTTAAAATATCCTCTTTGATTTATTTTTGCCTCAGCAAACTCACTCTGAACAGTCAATAGGGGGAAAAAAAGAAACACCACCAAAAAACCACAAATACTTTTTGCAGACCCATAGATAGTGATAAAAATAGCTGTATGTCTGCCAAGGCGTGCCGGTGTTCCTGGGGGGAGGGAAGTCAGCAGAACCAGAGGAGTACCAAAGGTGACAACTATGCCATCTCAACGCGCTGGCATTTGCACCAAACCTTTCTCTAGACACACTGCAGCATCGTGATTTCTATTCTAGAGGATTCCGCTTCCAAGAACCTGTTAATAAACACGGTTGCTGTGTACGGCTGTAAATAGACAAGAGAGTGGCTACAGAGAGTCTGAAGGCGCTCCTCTCTCAGCTACTGAAAGGTGAGAACGCAAGAAGCGGCCAAAAAGACAAGTACTATTCAGCTGGCAACAACAATAGTCACGCCCGACTATGCAAGATGCCTACAAAGCCGTTTCTTAAATACCCTAAAGTCAAAATATCACCGAGGTCATGAGGGCTCAGAAAAACAAATCTCAAATGCGGCAGGTTAAAAATAGAGAGAGGCTGTGCGCAGCAAAAAGAAGAGGGAGAACAGAAAAGGAGCGATGGTAAGATTGACCTCTATTATCATCCAGCTGATGGAAAAGGCGACATTAAACTTGAAAGTGTGTTTTCCCACGCTTGGGCGTAGGGAAGGATGAGGACACGCAGCGATCCAGCCGGACACTCGTGCTGCCAGGCCTGAAACGGATGGACGTCCTGCTCGGGCTGAAGGCGACACGCCACACGGACACTCAGCATTCACCAACTCCTGGATGTTAAAGCACATCGCGCAGGAGACTACTTTCTAACCCACTGAAGAGCAAAGGCAGCTACTTACTCCAACTATTTCCATCCTCAGCTTGCGCTAGCGTGCTTGATTAGGCTCTGCGGTATAGGAAGAGCGCTCAGATGCTGCATCTGCTCCGATGGCTGTGCTGGGGAGGGAGGCAGTCATCTCCAGCAGAGGGGAGATAACAAGGAGTGAAAAACTACTTGCATTCTTTGCAAAAAAAATTGTTATTAATGTATTAATAAGACAACCTCATGAAGTTCAACCAGGCCAAGTGCACGGTCCTACAGCTGGGTCGGGGCAATCCCCAGCACAACTCCAGGCTGGGCAGAGAATGGCTGGAGAGCAGCCCTGAGGAGAAGGGCCTGGGGGTGCTGGTGGGTGAGAAGCTCAGCATGAGCTGGCAATGTGCGCTGCAGCCCAGAAAGCCCCCGACATCCCGGGCTGCATCCCCAGCAGCGTGGCCAGCAGGGCGAGGGGGGACTGTGCCCCTCTGCCGCGCTCTGCTCTGGGGAGACCCCCCTGCAGTGCTGCCTCCAGCTCGGGGGGTCCCACCAGCAGAAGGAGACGGAGCTGTTGGAGTGGGGCCAGAGGAGGGCACGGAGATGCTGGGAGGGCTGGAGCCCCTCTGCTGGGAGGACAGGCTGGGAGAGTTGGGGGGGTTCAGCCTGGAGAAGAGAAGGCGAACGGTTTTAAACCAAAAGAGGGTAGATTTAGACTAGATACGAGGAAGGTATTCTTTCCCTGTGCGGGCGGTGATCCCCTGGGGCAGGTTGCCCCGAGAAGCTGTGGCTGCCCCATCCCTGGAGGTGTTCAAGGCCAGGTTGGACGGGGCTTGGAGCAACCTGGGCTGGGGGGAGGTGTCCCTGCCCAGGGCAGGGGGTGGCACTGGGTGGTCTTTAAGGTCCCTTCCAACCCAAACCATTCTATGGTGCTATGGTTTTGGAAAAAACCAACAGATTCCTTCGCCACGGGACAAACACTGGGGTCTATGGGAAGCAAAGGAAGCTCTCTCAGCTGCGCAGCCGGTGCCCTGCCAGTTCGGCCAGGAGTCAAGCTGTAAGAGAGTGCCTGAGCCAATGGAACAGCTCATGCCAGAGCAGGAGGGGGCAGTCCTGCTCCCTCCCACCCCCCGTATGCCCCTGCCAGCCCGGGGGGGCTCCGGTGACCCCATTCGGCTCTCGCCCCAGGCAGAAATTAATGCAGCTCCTGGGAAGTGGACAATGTTCTGCTAGGATTAGTATATTTAAGTTGCTCACAGAGGGCTCCAACCCTAACCTGACATATGTAGGAAGGAGCAGAAAAAGCCTCCAAATGCTCTTAAGCCTTCAGGCCCCGTGACCCTGACTATCCACCGTCTCTCCATCGCACACCAGGCACCGCACGGCTGCAAACCAGTTCCAGACCAGCTGAGCCAGCAACACCTCTCCTGCTTTAGCATGCAGATTGACAAGAGGAGACCTATAAAAGGAGGAGAAGAGACCACGGTGATGGAAAACTGAACAGTAATTAATAAGTACTTGTTTCTCTTCTTGTCTTATACCATTTCTATTTGAAAACACCCAGACCTCAGGCACTGGCGTTAAACACTGCCCCAAAGGCAGCTAGATGAAGAGCAATTAAACAAGAAAA